ATTTAAGGCTCAAGTGTACCAACAAACTGGAGATAATTTGTAATATAACACATTTTGAAATAAAGAAGTAATTAACAAAATTAAAGCTATTTTTTAGAACTTTTAGGCTATAAACGAAAAAAGCTGTACAAAAGGGTAAACCACTGTTGTATAAATTTTCTGCTATTCAGAAGTAGCTTAGCCATCAGTGCCACATAATCTGTTTATTTCTAATGTTTTTGATTTGTATCCTGAGATAACTATTTTTTATATTTGCAAAAAATTATCCTTTTTTATGGCGTTCCGAACAAATAAATCTTATTTTTTAATAGGAGTATGAAAAGCTGCTCTCTAAACCCATTTCAAAAGATTTAATCAATGATTTGGTAATAAAAAAGAAGTGATATGCAAAAAAATTATTGTCCCAATCAGTAAACATTCCATCAGGTGCAATAATAGTGTAATAATACAAAAATTTAAAACAATGCTTTAACAATGTCGGGCTCATTTAAGCGGGCCTTAGAAACTATTATTAAAAAACATTTTAATAAAAGCAGTTCTTCATTAATTTTTCATAGATTCTGATGCTTTGCCTCATTGTCATGTATAGTTAGCTTCACTTATTAAACACACCGAAACAGACTTAGGTATGTAGTTTCTGGGTTTCGATCTACGATATTTATGGCCTAAATAGAAAAATTGTCAAAATTAAAAATCCTGTTGAATCTACATAAATTCATACTGTATGTGTTAATTAGAGCCTTTGAAATAATTTCCTTTTTAAAAAGCAACAAATTTTTCCATTCTTGGCTTTAAAAAAGCAAAAACATTACTGCGCCCACCCATCTACGGTTCCGAAGACGATCGGTCGCTGCGATGCAATTTGAAAATTTTTCTCACTTTGACTTTTCGAGAAAAATCGAAATATCTCAGCCGTTCGGGCTCAAATAAAAACAAGCAATGTGTCAAACGATGCGAAATCACCTTGCCGATTTTTTGAAGCTGTTGCCAAAAGTATATTTGCAGTATCAGAGCCGGGAGGTTCGAAAAACCTGTTTTGGCACTTTTTGGGACCAAAAGTAGTTAATAACTCAGCAACCACTGGTCCAAATTTAAAAATTAGCCTACCAACAGATAGAGCTCGGGCCGGAAAATTTATTGGTACCACTCACAATTTTATATCTTTAATAACGAAGGAGCTATTGGCGAAAAACCCGATTCTTTAGAAAGTCTGGGAATCACAAGCCTATTGTTTTTTCTGAACTTCTTTATGCAAACCTGAATCCCCCTTGCAAAAAATGCATAAAATGTCGAATAACTTTGCGAAGAAATGTCGTAGAATTTTACCAAAATAACCATTAGAAGGAGAAAATTCTTCTGCATCGTTTGGTGCGAAGCAAATGAAAGTAGGGTGAATTTTGGGGGCAGAAATCAAAGTTTTCGTTTAAACACTGGCTATTGAATTCAAAAACAAAGGGCTTTCTTTATGTGATCCATGACCGGTGAGAGGCGTACGGATAAGAAACTTCAATTAAATGATACAAGAACACTCAAAAAATCTGCAAAAAATCTGAGGGGTTACACAGGTAGCAAAACTATGCCCTACTATTTTCGAAAGCGAAATTCGATACCTTTTAAAGGCTAGAAAAATTGGTTTGCCTCATTGACCTATAAGATAAAGCCTTCACACTTCAGACAAAAGAATTCAATAGACTATTTGAATGACCTGGTGAAGTACTTCTGAGCAAATCCATTCTTATAAAAGGGTTTCTTTAGCCCAAAAGGAATTTACTTTGGACAAGAATGGCTGCCTGAAATCCAGCTGCTCTCAAATGACAGAAAGTAATAATGCAAAAATAGATAACCAATAGCAAGAAACCAGTCAAGCGAATAACCAGTTTTTAAATTCATAGTGAAACATGGATAACTTACCGTATTATTCAAAAAAATAAAGTTATAAAATGTGCCTCCACATCCGTTTTAATAAACAAAAGTTTGATAGGAAATAATAGCTAATGGCGTCAGCAAAGTATTTTGGCGGTTTTTGGAAAGTGATGTTTCTCCCAGGCTCCTTTGCAAAATAGTCGCTTAGAATCTGAATTGAGGTGGGGGGTAGAGGTGGGAGTGTTGCATTCAAATATATAAGTATGATAGCTTCTTAGTTAGGGGATTGAGCGGATATGGTGTACATCTCAAAAGATTTGTCCCCATTAAATCACGAGGTAAAATTGGGAAATTTCTAAGTTAATTCTTGAAGTCAACACAGAAGTCAACACATTTTATACATACATTTGTAAAATTGTATTTTACCGAATCTACATTGAATTTTCTAGATAAAATTAAACATATTCATAAGTACCAGTGGAACATTTGTTTATCATATACATTTTAACATAGCAAAAGCTACAGGATAAATTTCATCTCTGCATGATTATATAAATTCCAATGTGAGTTGTCCAAGATAGGCAAAGGGGCCAGCATTGAATTTATTACACATAAATTAAATTTAACGAGAAAATTGTTTTATTACAATGTCATTATGTTGAATTCAATGATTTAATAGAGTTAAAAGTTGCTTTCTGTTCTGGTAATCATGATTTCCCGCAAAAGGAACCTTCTTTTTTGAGAGTTAGGCTGCTCTAGAGTCTTGCTTTTAAAGTTAGAGAGACAAAGGCTCTTACTTAAGGTTCATATCTAAAAGGTATATTTTGATGATGAGTTGAATTCAGTTGGTAATGCTTGGCAATAAAGTGGTCTCTTGACGTAAATAGATCAAAGAAAAAACCCTTAACAATAAATTTTAGGTAAAATCGGTATTTTATATAAGCTTTTTGTATCAAAGAAAGATAGCTTACAGGTTTTAAAATTATTTTGCCCTTCTTTGCAGGAAATTACTTCATCAAATATCCTGTCAACCCCATTTTGGTAAAACTCAAAAAAAATTAAAATCATAAACCAAAAGGATATTGAAGACAATTCTGCCCTTATCAAGTTATCAAATGTTTGCCCGGAAAGGGCTTCCAAAAAGAGCGTAGTTTGACTGACCATACTCACGTTCATGTAAAGGGTCACATTCAACAGTAAATAGTATAAACTTAGACAACTTATGAGGATCATGTAGAGCTTGGAAAGTCCAAAAATAAGGAAACAGTTACAAATGGGCAACACAATCAGGGGCCTTATGAGAGACGCGAGGGATCGGATCGTCCCCCTTGGGCTATGGTCCATTCTCATAGCACGACAAATTATTCCCTTTTAAGAATTTGCTATAGACAAATGGAGATTGAATAATAGTTTCAACGCATTATCACATCTCAACCAACTTACTGAATTCCTTCCTTTGGTTCCATCCAACGTCAAGAAGGCTAGAAGAAAATTTGTTTTAAAGGTGCGAATTAAGACCAACCTTAAAGTGAATCTGTGATATCAAGCAAAGTATAACTATATCATTGCCTGTACAGCTCCTTGATCTTATCATGGGTCCTCCAGTATATCTGATACTCTAACATCAAGAGACCATTCCTGGCTATAACATTTGTCTTTCAGTGATTATTTCTGAAAGCATCTTTCTCTTTCCTAGCTTTAGAGCCTTTTCATCATATTTACTCCGACAAAAAGTTAAAATTGCACCGTGAAAAATGCTGGTCACAGGCTTAGCATAGAACTATTATGATATTTTGATCACGTTTCTGACATTCTCATTCAGCACTACTGTTTAAAAAATCTCACTAATACTGTTTGAAAAATATCAGAGTAGAGGTCTCTTAAAAGTTTTATTGAAAATGTAAGAAGCTTAAGAGCTAAATTGTTTAAGAGCTATTAGTTTATTTATTTAAGAGCTATAAGTTTAAGGGCTAGGAAGTTTAAGAGAAATTTAAGAGCTAAATATTCATCAAAATGACGGACAGACGGACAGACGGACGGTGTTGCTAAATTCTCATATAGTAATCAAGGCAAATGTTATTTTTGGTATTTGCTTGAAATGATATTCGGAGTATTGAAAAATGATTAGGATCTTTGCAAAAACTGAGTTTTATAACAGCTTTAGGTACTTTTAAAGATGTTGAAAAATTGTATTAAAATTTCTTTAAAAAAACGGCCACGAATATAGCATTAAAATGACGTGAAATTTGGTCAGTTCACTCTAAAACAGTCCCTTTCTAGCTGCAAAATTATTTTCGAATGCGTTCAGTACTTCATGGAATTTTGTTCACTGAAACGCATTTGCTTACATTCATTTTTTGTTCAAATTAAAAGAAGGTTACAAAGTAAATCAAAATGTAACAGGATATATCAATATTCAAGGGATATAATTGATAAAAAATGAGCCAACAAGCAATCCATGGGTGAACCAACAACCAACCCCAGCATGACCCGATGTCCAAAAACATTTTTCGCCCTTGTCTCATTCATTTTAAATGCAAACGTGAACAAGTATGATTTAGACATGGTTAAAAATCATTGCCAAAACGGTTGCAGCACCTGCAAACAATTTTCAAAGCTTTTAAAAGTAATTCATCATATCAAAATGATTGTCTGCGACAGTCTAATTTAAATTGGAAGCATAAACACTTCTAATGTAGGAATCAACATTTTGCGAGAGGAAAGAGAATCGTACAGCAACAGCGTTGATGCCTTGGAGAGGTAGTTAGATCCTGGGGTTGCCAAGTTTTGAACGTGAATTTGTTCGGGAAACGAACCATGCCCACCTCCAGACCATGCACTAACCCCCGTTTCAGAGTCATTGCACAGGCGTATTATCTCTTGAAGCCCTGGCGGGAAGTTCAAGAGTTGTGTGGCCACTGACGGAACCACTGTGTGAATACTGTTATTAATGCGCATGTGCCATGACCCAGCGAGGCTGATTGGTTAAGACGGTATTGTTCCGAAAAAAAAGACTAAAGGTTTCGTCTCCCGAACAAAAATATTGTGGTACTCCAATTATTTTTGGCAGTGATTGTAGATGCATCATGTTTTACAATTAAAAGCTGCTCCAGACTCCAGACTTACAAAGCAGTAGATTGAATTGAGCAGAATGATCTTCATTACAAATGAAGCAACTTTACTTCACTCAACTGAATCATTACAGATATTTACAAAATACAGAACATATAGTTGCCTCTGATCCGATTCATAGACCATCAGCAATATGATCTTCACAATCGCCTTTTCCAGATTAAAAGTATTTTGTGTTAAGTATAATGTTAAGCATTTCGGGATAATAAACTTTCAAACAGTTCTTTTTCCTACAAATACACCTATTTCCTACTCGTACATACGCCAAATGATGAAGAAAAGGGGAGCGAAGGATTGCAATGGTAGACTGAAGTCTATTTCTAGCGACATAAACAAATAAGATGACTCATCTTTGATTCCAAAGTGCAAGACCTAAAAAGAGTCTTAATCTATTTAATTTTCAAAGGCAAAATACTCTTGGTTTAGTAGAAATAAAGTTGCTGGCAATTCAGAAAACATTAACTTAGGCCATCATTGCATGGTCATTCATAAACTCAGTCCCACATAAAACAAAGGTTGGGTTCTTTTATAAAAAACAACCCAGAGGAAGGACCTCAGAAAAAGGGTGCTGGTTTGAAGATGAGAAAAACACTAAGGGGGCTGTATAATGAATCAGTGAGTGAATTAAGATTCTTGCCAGGGCTAGGAATGGTACTCACTGCTGAGTCATAGGGTCATTCTAAAGTGCCGGAGTAGGGGGTTGACAAGAAATAAAGTACACTCATTGTGTCATAGACAACAGGATTTCTACAAACTCATTGTCTACAATACCCATTGCAAGAAGGCTTTACGGAAACTTTATTCATAACTTCTACAGAACTATAAACTAAAAAGTCTCTCCTCCCTGTATTCCAGTAATAGCAGGAAATAATCTTAAACACTCTAACAATATAATTTAGCCGTGACTTGGGTTTGAGACACTTACATCTCTTGTTGTCAACTATCATCACCGGGATTTACAAACATGAAACCGTCACTTTTCAGGGCTCCGCAAAGGCAAGCTAACAAAACGATCTCTTTTAAGCAGCAAACGACCTTTACTTCAAAAGCTGCTAATAACGTTAATCTGCATAAGCAATGAATCAAGTTAAAGGGAAAGGTATAATTGTACCTAAAATAACGCGTAATAAGGAATCATTATGTTGCATATCAGAGCAGCACGGTGATATGTATCTGTTTAGTTCTTTACCACCTACGTCACCTACCATTAAAGTTTTAGGTATGAATGTCTGGAATGTGTTCATGCTTTGTATGTTTGTTTGCTGTCCAATGCCTGTCTTTTCATCAAGAATGACTTTCTGGTTCGGCATTATCTGAAGAAGTGTCCATCTGCTGATCATCCTGAAATAAATATGAACACCATAAAATTTATGCATTTAAATCACAAGACTCTATGATACTAAAAAGTTTAAAATGGTATGTTAAGTGAAATAATTTTTCCCCGGATATTTTCGGCCATTTTGATCAAAAGCGTGCCTGGGTACAAAAGTTTCGATGCTTGTTCAAAATGTACCCCATCAGAAAATGCTGATCATCTGTTGGGGAGATTTTGACCCCAACCAGTAATTGTTGGTCCAATGATACACAAAAATCCTAGGCATCATTCTCACTTTAAAAGCTATATGATGTCTTTACTAGCAATATGATGGCGATCTCGAAAGATCTCTGTTGTCATGCACCAAAATAAAAACGATTTTTCTGTGTGATAAAATGGGATTTTGCTACTTTTAATGTCCATGCGGTTGCTACTAAAAATTAAACAAAAATAAAAGAAATTAAAAAATGTAAAATGAACATAGAAAAATTCCAGAAAATAATAAACTGTACCTTGTGTAGCAAAATGGGGTAGTAATTTTATCTTCAAAATATACAAAATATCATGATTTTTTAAATTTGATAAGGAAGGGAAAACCGTTATGTAAGGGAAGCCTTTCTATAGGGGAAGCCTTTCTATAGGGGGAGCCGTTTAAAAAGGGGGAGCTTTTCTATGGGGGAAACTTCTCTCTAGGGAAGCCTTCTTATAGGGAAACCTTTCTATAAGGCAAGCGTTTCTATAAGAGGAAACCCCTTTTTGGGGAAGCCATTTGAAACCTTTCTATGGGAGAAGCATTTCTATAGGGGAAGCATGTCTCTAGGGAAGCCTTTTCATAGGGAAACCTTTCGATAGGGCAAGCGTTTTTGTAAGAGGAAACCCTTCTTTGGGGAAAGCCTTTCTATAGGGAAAGCCATTCAAAGAGGAAAATTTCTGTTACGAGTAATTTAACTGTCGTGCTTCGAGTAATATATAGCAATATACCTTTGCTAAAATAGTTTTTATTGCTATAGTCACTTACAAAATGCAGATCTAAAGAATTTCACGTCTTGTTCAAACGTGTATTCTTATGATAAGTACTTCAGAAAATGACAGTAACACACGAAATCTTACAGAAATTATAAAACATATCTGTTATTGGGCTTTTTCTAGTTGCTAGACATCGGTTCGTTTTTAATTCAATGCAAAAGTATCTTTTTATAACATTCACCTGGTCAAATATCTTTTTATAGACAGAATAGAAGAAAACCTTTCAGATGCCATTCAACATAGACACAAACAAATACATAGCAAATATTACTACCAAGACTGGCAATTAACGCTTGCTACTAAGGGAAGTCACAATGAAAAGAAACCATACAAGTCTTTTCTGTCAATCTCCAGCTGCTGCTAAACTAAAGAAATATTCATGCAACACCTGTCATTTTTCTTCACTTATTATTTCGTTCATTCATTTTTATTCTGCCTTCAATTGATATGATGTTTTTTCTTCGTTATAAATCATTAATTATGCAAAAATGCAAATCATCGTCTGCGTTAAAGTGCCTGTGACATCATATTCTTATGTAAAAAGGCCTGTTATTTTCATTTCTGAGGTTAGTTTTTACGTTTCGTGAGTAATGAAGGAGTTATTGGCAATCTTCTACGCCAAAATTCGCCATCTTGGTTTTCAGAATGAGTAGACAGTGACGTCACGGGAGAGACCCGATCGCCTCCTCCTTCGAGTTTTTGTATCGTAGTCAATTAGAGAAATCTAACAGGTCCAAGATGAGCGATATTTCCAGAGAAAGTAGTGGCAACGAAGATGAGATTTTTGAAGGTAGCGCTTACATTGTTACAATAACAAGTTCGATGACCACCCATCACGTCACGAGAGAACGGCGAATGATGATAAAGCGACTTGGCTAGGCCGCACTATTTTGCTTAATTTCAATATCAAAACGCTTTTATATCAAAAAAAGTTCAGATCTACTATAAGAGCAGTGCAACGCTTCAATTAAGAGAATAAAAAAATCATGTCACAGGCACTTTAAAGTTCGAAAAATGTCGCTTCATTAAGTCGACTGTCTATCAACTCCCATTTGAGGACAATAGGTTGACAGAGGGCTTAATTGCCCCCACCATTGATAAAATTCGAGAATGCTGTTGATTGCTGGCTGCCCCCGCACATTTGGCAAAATGAATGCCAATGTTGGTTTGCTAAGAAAATTCAATGCTTTCTATCTATTTCTTCTAAACAAAAACTTCCAGTTTGATCAACAGTTTGACGAACATATAAGAAGAATTGCTAATATTAAAGAATAAAAAATTCCTAGAATTTTAAAAGTAGGGATAGAAAAAGACATTTTTTCCCAAAGAAATGAAAAGCATAAGAACATTTTCAAAAGAGTACCAGAAATTTTTCGTTTTTCTAATACCAAAAGACTCCAGGTACATATTTATGGGGTCTTAATATGATAAGCGGGCAACAACAACCATAAAAACATCATAAGCGCCATCATCAAAACAACAACAACAACAAGATCACAAACAGCAACACCAACAGCGATATCAACAACAACAACAACGACAATGCCCAAAGAAAAAACAACAAAAACAAATAGAAAAAAAAACTCACAGAATTGTCTATTTCTTCTAACTCCTTTGCAATTAGTTGCCTTGCTAGCCTCACTTTGGAAAATTCATCGTAATGTTTTTTCCTTTTGTCTGTAAAAACCCTTTTTTCAGCTAAAAGGAAAAGTAATAATCCGATTACACGTGAATAAACTCTTTTAAGGAAATAATTCACTAACAATTGCAAAATTGAAAAAAAAAAAATTGAACACTTTGTAAGTCCAATCTTTATTGGAGTTGTGTTAACAGGCGCCTTTATAAATATTCCGTTAGATTTTGTGTAAAAATATCAGATTGTTTAGATCTTTAGTGTAAAGATATCAGGGCTTGGTCTTTATGATGAGTTCCTACAGACTCCCTTCTGCGTCCTTTGCTTATTTTTTCGAAATATACCGTTGCCTATATGATATAACTGAACATTAAAAAGCCGATTTCAAAAAGGCTGAAAATGTTTTGATATCTTCAAATAGGGCAAGATTTAGTTTATGACATGCAAAACAGGAAAGAAGGATGATTCACAATTCCTGCGAGGCAGTTGTTGTCCAACAAGAAGAAATATAGCCGAGGCTGTTTACTGGAAGCTCCTTCTGCGATTAGTAAGGAAATCAATATACGAACTAACAAACACAAAATCTATTGGAACAATTCCGTACAAAGATTTGAATGCTTTGGGTTTGAGAACTCAGTGAAAATTAAAAGGTTGAAAAAAATCATCAGGTTTAATAAACAAAATATCAGGTTGAATAAAAAACTAATAGTTTTTTATAAATACTATCAGGTTTTCCCTTTGTACCGAGGCGTTTTTTGCATAATGATATCCGGAATGATTATTGCAGTGGTCCGAACTTCCCACATTTCCCACGTAATTTTTAAAAGCTTTCAATCCTCGATCACTCTCAGTAAAGTTGGTCAGTAAAGGAACTATCTTTGGAACACTACTCTGGAACTTTCAGAAACTTAAGGTTTCTCCAAATGAAACAAATTCCTGAACATAACTTTTGTTTTATTTTGAATATTCGAATTTATAAAACACTAGAAAGCTGGAAAAACAAGTCCAGCATTTTTTACAGAAGGTGCTGTAGTGTTTTGACAAAGAAGATGACTAGAAAATAACCTTCTTCCAACTTTATCTTCTCACTGTTCCATAACAGTATTGTTCAAAGTCCCCATATGTCAACTATCACACCGACAGATCATTATCACAGTTGACAAAGGATTACATGGGCTTCAAAAGAAAACGGCGAGAGACTCTCGGAAAAAGTCAAAGGAAAAATAATGCTATCTGTAGCATCCTAGAAAGACCTCTAAGCCACGGCAATTATCAACAAAAGGCTAAAACGTGCGCCACACAAGTTCAGTTCATTCATTTTAATTTCCACTACATATAGATTCTCTAATATTAATCTACTTACAAAAATGATATTAAATACATGAGACAATAAACATAGAATATAACAAGGATTTGACACTACACTAGAGGATTTGCATGAAGGGGAATTCTTAAGGAGGAACTCTCTCAGTAGCAAAACTAATCGAGGAGAGAGCACCCCCTTTTAAGATAATAAGTTCAGAACTTGCATGTGTAGATTATGACTGTCTAGATTACACTTTCAGTAATTATTTTCAAAGAAGTAGGTTTTGAGCTTAGAATAAAAGACACTAACAGATGGTGACCTTTTAATATTTACAGGAATGTCATTCCAGTCCTTATTGGATCCCACTGGGTTCCATTGGATATTGGATTATTGGATTCCACCTGGGACACAAGGGTTCCACTGTACTTAAAAAACGGACACTGGGGTAATCAACACTCTACAGAAATAGACATAACAAAACCCTCTCTTTGCAGTTTTGAGTCTGAGTCGTGGGTTTGCTTTGTCATCAATCAAAGCCAAGCCTTTCGAGATATGCAAAATCCAATAATTGTGACACAATTGTAGCAAATTATCAACATCATGTTTTCGTAACACCTTGGAACCGCTCTCCATGTTTTAATTTGAAGCCAAACAGAAAATTGTGTTTGTAAGAGCATTTTACTTGAAAAGGTTGCAATCGCAGGTCTATATTCTATCAATTCATATCTTTATATAAATATATCAAGAGACACAATAAATAAATACAATAAAACCCGCAAAAAGAGTAGATCGACTGTTACCTGGTGATCGCTATGAAATTTGAAGATGTGATGGTCCTGTTCTATATACTAAAGCGCGAACAGCTTTGCCTACAAGGTATCATTGCCACTCTGGATGGATCATCCCTGGTACTCCCAGCTGGGCCAGCAACAAGGTTCAAACTCAAGACAGCGTGGCATCCAACAATGTAAAATTAACCTACATAAATGATTTCAAATTAGCATTAGAAATATCAAGAAATAAGGGTTTGTTATTACCTCTTCCTTCTTCTGATAGCAAATCATCCTCCTCTTCCTCGGGGCTGTCTGAATGCACGTGCTTGCGGGTACTAGCTTTGGAAAGGCTAAAAAAGAAACGATACGCAAATGCTTATTGGAAAACAATGTTTCAAGTTATACCAACACCATACCAAATTTCAATGAAATCATTTGTCCAAAAGATCACGAGAGTAGAACGTGAAAAAGTAAACAGTCTACCTTAGTTCTTTAAGTCTAAAAGGTCAAATCGAAGGGGCACGGTTTAAGGTCGGTTGAAGATCCAAGGTTAAATATAAGATAAAACAGTGTTTTGATCTGCGCTATCCCGCGGGTACACTCTTGACATCATGTTTAGTACTACCAGGTTTTCCAGAACATTACAACACTAAGAATCACGAAATGCGAGAAATAACCACAGCAAGGATAGAACGAAATAAACTTTTCCTTTCGGTTTTGGGAACAAAACAAAATAAAATTAGTGTCATGTAAAAAGGATTCAAATTCGCTGACTGTTCAGAAGCAATTTTGAGCGATTGAATCATTGCTGTGATACTGATTTCAAAAAGTTTGTTTTTTTAAAGTTATGTTTAAGTTTTGTACCAACAAAAGATTGTTTACTTTATAATTAACTTCGAATTTTTTTATAGCTATACCCAAAAATTCTAATATAAATCAGCGACTGGACTTCTGATTTACGCATATGTTCAAACCTTTCCAAATGTCACCCTCCCTATGCTACTAAAATAAAACACCAGTGATTCTCAATTCCTCAATTCCGTTATTTTAAGCAATGACACTTATAATTTTATTTGACACATAATGATTTTTTAACCAAATATAATGAAAGACACAAGTCTTTTTAGCTGCTTGATTCAAATTATTTGAACAGGGAAATATTCACATAATTGTTGTCTGCCATGAGAGCCATTTTTGACACCTTCTTTATCGAAATCAATTACACAAAGTTCTTGTCTAGATAAGTGTCAAAAGGGCAATTAATATTTAAAATACCGATAAATTCTAAATAGATTAGATTTAAGGCGTCAATCTCTGAGAGACATTGCACAGCTAAAGATCGTAACCAAAACAAAGCTAGTCGCCAGGGTAAGACTTATAGAAATATAGATGGAGCAGGTGTAGACTAGTTGTTCATTGTGGTTTATTGCATAAATCCTGCATAATTTGCAGCTTTGTCTGGATTTTATGCTAAACTGAGCCACAAGACTCTTTGTTCAAAACAAACGGTTGTAGATGTATGACTTTATTCAAATACTCTAGTAGGAAATTCGAACAGCTTCAAAAGGATCCGCTTCAACAGAAAGTAACGGCCTACACCACACCGAAAATGTTATACCTAAATCAAAATAATTTTGCCTTCACTAAACACATATTTTTACCTGCAGAATGGCTGGAAATGCTTCTCATTTAGAGATGCCTTGTATTTCTTGTAAAATATTTCATATCTGGGGAAAGTTGATTATCCCATGTCCATTGCCAGAAAAACCCCCTCTGAAAAGCTTGCAGTTGAAACAGAGAACAGACAATGCAAGCTTATTTAAAGCAAGCAAATGGCAAAGTTTAAAATCTGTTGACAGGTATCTTGTTAAAAAAGATTTTCACTAAAATCCAACAATAACTGACAGCATGCTATTCCAACGACACTGGTAAACAAAATACCTTACTTAGGAAACTCACATATGAACTGACCCTCTACTGATTATCGATTTTCCTTGGGTAAAAAAAGCTGAATAAAATTTGGTTTTGTTCTATGTGAAAGTTCTACATGAGTGTTCTATAGTTTCCATTTATATCATTAGCTGTTGATTATTGTTAAGACAAGTCTTATCATTGGATTGATAGAAAAAATTATCAAAGAAGGAAAATATATCCCATGTTTCAGGCATTTGGGGCCTAGGGCATTTGGGGCCTGCTTCCAGCCGTTCACATATTATTCACACATTACATGAGCCGTTCACACATTACATTTGAAGAAGAATATTTACATTTGGCTCTGTTATTTTATTCTATTGTTTTTTATGTTCTATCTTGGTTATAAAATCAAAGAGGTTGTCCTTTAACCAGACAGAAGGAGCTAAAAGAACCCATGGCACAATATTCCAACATTTTGTGACGAAATTTCCTTTAAATATTATTTGCCTTGGTGTAATCAAGTGTAATCAAATGGTCGAAAAACTTTAAACACAACTTGGAGAATCTTCCTATGATTTTGTTCTGACTTTCTTTACCAGCATTGTCTTCTTTGGTGTGCCTTTATTCCTTGTTTATCTCCTTAGGTTGTTTATTATTCCTTCTGTCTTCTCTCACGTCCTGATTGCTCCTCCAGCATACTGCTTTATCACATGATTTATGATCCCCTTTGTTTAACCCTTCAGTTATTATAATTGTTTTTTCGCCCATAATTAAATATTGTTGTGGTACTAATTATTAACTTTGAGAATATTTTTACCACAGGGGTGCTATCTAACAGAAGGAAGTCAGTTATGACAAAAAGGGAGAACAAACAGAATGGTTTTTTACTTCTGTTGCTACATGGGAATAAAACTTCAAAAATTAAAAAGACAGTTGAATTTGATGAGAATAAATTCAAAGCCCACTGATCCTGGCTCCTGGTATTCAACATGGCAAAAAGACACTCACCTGTCACGCAAGGTTTCTGGATCAACACTTGATTCACTGGTGTCTAGTTCTCCATCAGAATCTTCAAGATGTGAATAAGGTGTTGGAGGTTCATTAATTTTCATGTGCCCATAGTCTTTATTCGCTGGGTGATATGTTTCTAATATATTCATCTCATCCCATTTTACCTCTGGTCTGAAACAGAAAGGAAAAATTGTTTCTTATTATGTTATAACCTTAATTCTACATCATAAGTTCAATAATCTCTGCATGTCCTGGGTTGTACATAATGCAGATTTAGATTTATACATAGGTTGCATTTCATGAAAGAGTTATATCATTGTGGTAGGTAACATCATCTCCTTTAGTGATCATCTATTCTTATCATTATTTCACAAGTCTACAAAAAGCAAACTTTCTTCAGACAACCCCCTCCCCAAAGAGTACAAGGCAAAAAGTTAAAAATGATGACTTTTGCTCTGCACCCTCAGGGTGAAGGTATGATGGCAACAGATTGTGGTTGGCAGCTTCAATATGTTACGAATCAAAGTTAAATAATTCAAATCACTTTGCTTATGTGCTTTTGTTATTTGATCATGGATAAAAAGTCTCATCTATACTCCAGATTTTCATTACTTTTCTTAATTAATTAACTTTTATATTGTAAATAATTCAAATTTTAAAACAAATAAAGTATTTTTTAGCAAGCAGGTGAAAAGCCACTCTGTGGAGAAACTGGTTTTGATTTCATTATTATTATTAATTATTGTTATTACTATTATTATTATTATAATAATATTAGATGTCTATCAAATGAAACCAAAATGCCAGCTCAAACCACTTTGCGAGGTTCACAGTAGTACAGAATAGCCCAAGAATTGGAAGTTTGTGATACAAATTTGATTACAGTATCAAATTTGACTACAGATTTATCTCTACAAGCCTGTTTTGTGAATAAAAATATGTATATATGATAGTAAGTATTTTTCTGTTTCATACAATGTAGTGAAGGAACAGCATACAAAAGTATAATAATGCTAGACATAATTAATACCATATAATCCTAAATTTGTTTGTTTTATTAAGAAGTACAGTTTAAACCTAAATTTCTCATTCCAAGCAATTCCTGGTGATCCTTCAATTAATGGCTTATTAAAGATAGCTTCTATCTCTCAGAAGGTAGCTAATGGGTTATTAGACTAGGCTTAGAAAAGCAGACTTTTAAATTCAAACAGAGAAGCAGACAAGGAAACACTTGTACAATGATGATGAAGATTACAAAATTATTAAATAACCTGCAAACTCAAAGCCAGTAGCAAAGTGAATTAAAAACAAACCATGAAAATTAATTTTTCCATCAAATCTCTCGATAGATTCTACTCTTGAAAACAACCAGCTAATCAATTTGATAGATTTGCTTGATGCTTGGAAGAAGTATTTTCCTTTCATAAATGCAGGCTGATAGAATTGTCTGATCAAAATCTTAATCTAAACCTTATAGTATGCCTTTTGGCTAGAATTACTAATTGATCTTTTATGAAAATTCTACTCGTTGAAATCGGATTACCCAGCTTTTGGACTATCTGAGCCAAGCTTGAAAAATCTAGTCCAAAGAAAGGCAGATGATCAAGGAAGAATATTTGCAATAGGTCTAATGTTTGGTAGGACGACTAAGTCCTCTTTTGATTATCAACTTTACATTGACCCCTCACTTGGTATTATCTTTATATGTCATTAGGAAGTTTCAAGTGAAAGAGAGAAAATTAAGCAAGTCCCACTTTCACAAATTTATGGTGGAATTTTCACAAACAATATTCCTACCATGTGCTAGGGCCACACAGAAAAACAGACACTTCGATAACACTGAAAAACAGATACCCAGAAAAACAGATTTTATTTCAATATTTTGTAGCTAACATGAAAAATAAGATTTTTGCTGAAAACAGTCAATGTGTAGTCCATTTTCAACACATATTGGTATATTTTGAGTGTCAAACCAACTTTGTGACAGTCAGTTATTAGATGCACAAGAGATCAAGCATCTCTCCAGTAACAGAACTGTCACACAAAAGTTACAAGTATAAATAATTTCCAAGTGTTGCAAAGATGTAGAATACTATTTCTGTTCACAGTTTAAACCAAAAGCATTATAAGTTTTCAAGAGCTCTTTAGATCATAAACACCCCATTCAGTCACAGACAAAATTAGTTCCTGCAAAGGTTTCTTAATTGCACAACATATAAATCAAAAGAATTGTACACAATCTTACTTATGAATGATAAAAACTGATGAACTATCTTAATTGATCTAGTAAAATAGTGAGTCAACTTTAACAGCCAGATAGATGGGTAGTAACAAAAAAGTTGGCTGTTTGTGGTATTGCATAGATAGATCAGATAGAATACAATTTCTCAATTAAAACCTTTTATGCCTTTTTGGCAAGAAATACCCACAAACTCATGAACTTTAGTTCAGAGAAAAAGTTATCAATCTGAACGACCAAATATTGTCTACTTTCTGACTGGATTTTGGAAATTCAATTTCAATAAAAGCAGTTGATATGATTGTGTGATAATCTTTGAAATAAGATACTTATTTAGCTAGGATTTTCATCTGCAAACATATTATTAATTTGGATTCTTAAAAAAGCAAATAATCGTTGCTACAAAACACGAGAAGAGAGGGGTAGAAACTTCAATTTCCTTACTAACATCAAATCAAAATTTTTTATAAACGTGAGTACATTACAACAAATTGCTAGATCAAGAGTTTTGTAAAGCATTTGCTAAATATTTCAATTGTTTTTTAATTGATCTGCCGGTACTCATAGCACAGAAAGATTTCGTTCAAAAACCTTAAGTTTCCTAGACCTAGCGCTAGCACCCGATCAAAAGTTTTATAAGGACATCAACATTTTCTGTTCTTGACAGCTTTGATTCCATCTTCTTGTGGTGACTTTGTTCGACTCTAATTATCACCAGACGCAGGTGACACTGATAAAATTTCCATTAATTTTTCCCTCATCGCCGCGATCAAAACAATTCAGCAAGTTGAAAAGGTCTCATCAGCTGATTTTATTCTTATCAAATACTTTAGGAGGCGAGTATTCTAGAAATTACTTGGATAACTATAAAACATTTTGCAAAGCGGCATTTTCATCCCGACAGATCAAACAGTATGTCATCCGAGAAACGATCTTTCCTATGTTACAAGATGCAGTTTTCAATAACGATACTACATATCTTTCCACTTCAATATCGTAAAAATAGCACCACTTAGCGCTGTTTGCAAGAGCGGCTTTGTAAGATTATATACACTTATCATATTCGTTCGCGCTCCAAGACACAGATGTTCTCAGAAAACAAAGAAGGCCTGCATATGGAGCCCCATGCGTCCATGAGATTCATTTGCGAGCATAAATCACTAAGCTAGGCGGTATTTTATTGTAGAAGAAATAATCTATATAATCATACTAACTTTGTTTCACCGTGAGCGTGTTTTAATATGCTTTTTGGTCGTGCTTCAGCAGAATCTTTCTCCGAACAGCTACTTCCCTCCATTTTGAAATTGTAGTCAGTCATGACGTCTTGACAGCCCACCTCCAAGATCACATGTTCCTCTGGACGGGGGTATTAGCAATGACGTTCATTCCAACTTTCGTGTCACCACTTTGCTTGCACCTCTTGCATTTCAATTTTGTGAATCCAGTCAGTGACGCCTGCACAAGGTTAGTGCAGAGGGGGCAATGTTGATGCCGAGGGCAAATCGTGGAATTTTTCTATTAACATAATCGAGTATTCCTTGGTGGGAGGGGGGCGAGGTTGGGGTAACATAATAGAATACAGTGCCACCCATATACAGCTGGGTTTTTTTTACCATCAATGATTCTAAAAATAGAGAAAATTTTGACAAACTTATCCATACGTAAAAATGGGTATTAAATGGCCTTGTCACTATTCACAATATTTGGTTTCATAAAAAATCATGGCTGTTATTAATGGGCTGGTTGTAAAATTTTTATTGCCCGCTAGGTTTTTATACCGATTTATCCTCCTTAGGTTCCTGTAGTACTTCTGAGGGAACACGTCGTTTGTTTATCATCTTGTGGTCAACCTTGTCACAGACAAACTTTTTATCTTTTGCGTTTTTGTGCTGTTGTTAACATCTTTCTAATATATTTTAATAGATATTAACATAACGAGAGTGGTCAAAGTGGTCATTGAATATTGATAAGATTCTACAGTATTTTCTTATATTTCAGGGCACTTCAAGCATCTCTCAAGCCCCTCTCTCACCCCCTTGAAAGAGCGCCCCCCTCGAAAGAGCGCCTCCCCTAAAGGAAATATTTTTAAATGAGCGCCCCCTCCCTATAATAGAATTTTAAAAAATTTTTATTTTGTATTATAGCCTTTTTATTTTCATATCGTTTTTTGACTTATTCCCTTTTCCTTGTATTTGCTATTTCTTCATGTTGCGTTTATGTGTCTACTCACAACTATAGGGAAAGATTGGATCTGTATGTCTACGAAATGAAATGAGCGCCCCCGGCAGATTTGTAAATGAGCGCCCCCCCCCTCGAAAGAGCCCCTCCCCTCAAAGGCGGACTTCTAAATGAGCGCCCCGGCGCTCTTTCGAGGAAATGCGGTAAGCCATAGTAACTTAAACAAGAATGGTGATAAATAGAATTTCTGTGTCATCTTCAAATGTCAAGTGCCTTCCGTAATAGTTTCTAAAATGAATTAGATACTGTTAAATATCGTGAAAATTACATATAAGACCCATATAATAAAATTTGTGACATGAACAGTGAGTATTAGATGATAAAAACAGGAGTACAAACTGACGACCTTGGTTACTCATAACATAATATCCCCAGTTTTTTCTAAACATCAATGATTAACTGGACAGGAGTATAATGCTGTCGAAGATTGTTCACTAGTAGCCCTTTTTAGTCCGTTTGTATGAAGATGAAAATATTTTCTATACCGCAATGTCCATCAGAAAAAAATGTGAATCTAATAATTATGAGTTATCACCAGGCTAGGCTGGCTTTTGGTGGCGGTCCCAAGAGGCAGCTAGGGTGGTAATTACTCCCCTCCCCCACTTCTGTCAAAACATGGCCCACATAATTATGCTAAACTAAAAATTGATAAAAATGCATTGTGTAAGTGTAGGCAAATTTTCAAGATTTGCCCTAAGGAAAATTAACCTGGTGTATGTGTATGGGTCCAATGCCTTGTACAAGTTTACGGCATTCCCATATTCTTATCCCTGCTCTAAGAAAAGCCAGTGCCCTCTCCTGACCACACTAGAAATATGTCCTGTTCGACGATGATAACCACAAACCACTGGCTATTTGGATGTTTTCATGTGATACCAAAAACAATGTCCATTCAGGAAAGAAATAACGTTCTTTAACATTCTCGTTACAACTAAAAAATTTTCAAAGAATTTTAGAACGCATCGAAGTTCAGAGGATCTAAACAACTATAAATGTAATACATCAGAAACAAGCCTTTTCTTAGTTTTTCCGAGTTTTTCGCCATCAGCTGTCATTGAATCGCTATCATTTTTTAAAAAAGCTGTTTCGTTTTTATTTTGTTGCTAATCCCTATTCAACCAGAACTGATATGTTAGGAATTTGGTCAAAATTGTCACAAATGAGAATCGAGCTTTGATATCAATATGCCAAGTGAAGAGAGCTGTCTTGGTGAAAACTGTTCCAATTTGTCAGTATTTCCTATAGATTTGTTAAGAGCATGCTTTTACAACATATTGGCTAAAACTTTTTCGTCTGACACTCCTCAGAGCATAAAACGTCAGAATCAGGGTCCGAAAGAACGCGATTAAAAATTTATACCCAATGTTGGATCTGGGTATACATTTTTCATTCACAGAAGATTTTCAATGATACAATTTAATAAAAATAATTGACAAGTAAATGCACCAAATGGTAATTTTGACTGAGAATCTAGATTAAAAAGCTCTCAGGGCTGTTTATGGTTTTCTTCCTCGTGAGTTGGCGCATATGGTTTTTCCTGTAGTAACCTCGCATCTACAGGGAGCAAATTTCCAAGAAAAGGGCAAAAAACAATAGCTACACTTTGCGGGGTCAAGAAGGCTCCCGTTCAAAAACCAAAATACAATTTTTGTTTGGGGGGGGGGCAGCCCTGATAAATAAGTGTATGAACAGCCATATTTTACAAAATAAAATTACTTTACTTATACTACTTAAGTTTTTTTGGGTGGGCCAAGGCTCCCCGGCCCCAAAGGTATCTTGGTCCTTGCTCCCATTGTCAAACGTCCCTGTCTCTGACCGGGGTTCATTTTAAAGAATTTTTATCGCTGCACATTTTCAAAATTTTAGAAATTTTGGGCATTGCCATTTAAAAATATTTATGACCACACCTATCGAACTAACTATATGTTACACCAGCTCTCACCAAAGCTTTATAAGAGATTTCGACGAGGAAAAGTGGTCTAGGTTTAAACAAGCTTTCAAGAACAAAATCTTAGAGGAGAAGATGAAGAAAAAAACAAACTAGGTAGCTTGTAGATGCTGAATTCGATAAAATTTTAGAGAGATTTCGTAGATTATGGGCATTGTTACTGTTATGTTCTCGTTTTTAATATTGTAATGCCCTTTTATAAGCCTTAAGTGTCTACTGGTAGTTGCTGCAATTTTATTTTTTCACTTCCAAATCACTTTTTTTAGTTTTATCACTGCATAAAATTTGAGTTGATCACTGTACAACTACGATTTATCACTGCGCGTTAAAATAATTCAATGTTGACTCTTCATTTTCAAAGAATTATACTCCTGACCGTAGAAAAATGCTACTCATCTAGCATGCAACTTCAATTATAACATTATTCTAAAATTCACACCGTTTACTAAAAACTAAACAGGGCCCGCGCCACTGGGGGGGCCTGGGTGGCCATGGCCCCCCTTTTTGCGATGCAAGTAGTTTTAAAACTGCAATAAAAGGGGTAAGAAGCCTTGGCCCTCTAAATTTTTAGCCTTGGCCCCCACTTTAAAATTCGTGGCCCTAAATCGGAATAATTTTGCTGAATGTGCTCAAAAAGCGATTCCCAATTTCATATTGAGGATGCCGATCTATACTAACCGCTCAGAAGGAGCATGTTGTAGTGAAATTTTGGCGCGGCCTACCTCGCAATATACAGAAAACTTTGCGGAAAGAATGGCACGTTGTATAACTTGCAGTTGACAAGATCAGCACCGATTGATATATAAGACTTGCAGAAACAGGTAAAAGATGGCAGATGTTGTATATTTCTTCATCGAGTAGCATTTTATGTAGCAGATTACGCCGATAAATGTAATCACAAGAAGTTGTATGCGTAGGCTTAGGCCCAAAAAGGAGCAATTTTCATTGTCGTCATTGCGTTTCCAAATATCATTTATCGCCCAACTTGGAAACATTCTTATGTTGAAAATTATCAAAAATAATAATTAAATCGTGATAATCAACTGCTGCAAACTGTCATAGGACAATCTAATCTAGGGTTCACCACCAAACTATGGGCCATGTTTCTCTTTTACCAAAAGTCTCAGCTGCACCTTCGCGTTGAGTGTGGATCCATCATGGATGAGGGATTCTGGGATTGATTCGTATAATTGATTATTTTTGCTCCTTAAAGTTGTAAGGGTGAGTTGTACAGAAAAGATGTCAGGAAACCTAAATTTTTACTATTAGTTACTAAACCAAAATTTATTATTATGATTATCAGATTAAGTTTTGGGACATAGTTATGATTTAAGTGGTTTAATGAGCAACATCATGAGAATTTAAGAATAACTACTTACTTACACTTCTGTACTAAAAGATTTTTATCCATTCTGTATTTCATTATTTGTGTTATCTTTTAGGAAAAGTTGGGATTGCAACAAATATCACATTGCATATCTGCATTGATTATCACATTGCTAATTACATATTCCCAAATGGAACTTGTCAGTTACATGTCATTTTTGTAAGATCCTCAGACCCTCTCGTGTTTAATCATTCTTTAAGAATTTGTACAGAGACAAATAAAATGAAGGACATCTCAGTGCCTCAAACCAACCCAGAGCATGGTTGCTCGAAACATTCACCTAGTAGTTCAACATTTTCAAAGAATAGTGTTGATCACGGCTATGCAAAGTTGTCATCTTCAAAAAAGTCAAAGAAACTTTCCATTATCGACCCAAAGCAACGTAAACTATCGTTTGCAAAAATACCATCAATAAAGCATTCAGAAAAAATTGTCATTGATTCCTCAAATTCAGAGTCAGATGAACCATTAGCACTTTTTAAAAATGGCAAAAGTATAGATCCCACGAAGAAAGTCACAGAAACAGATGAAAGCTCAAAAAATACTATTGGATCAGTGACAGAAACTACCAGAAATGGTTCATTAGATGCAACATTAAGTAAAAAAGTTGGTGGTAACATTGAACAGCTTCCAGCTTCTCCTAAAAAATCAAAGAAAGAAACAATTGGATCAGAAGCCTTTGCAACTCACAAGAATAGTAGCCCATCAAAAATGGCTAATTGTAATTCAAAGAAAAAAGATAGCTGTGCAAAGATGAAGCCATTCAAGGCAGATGGCAAAAGAGAAAATGGATTAAAGCTCTCAAAGAAGTCTGCCAAAATAAATGTACCTTCAGACTCAGATTCAGATTTAGATGTTCCATTGTCTCAGTTAAAAAACTCACCAAAATTTAAGAAATCAGAGAAAGCCAAATTGATCGCTCCAAGTCACTTGAAGAAAGACCATACAAAGAAAAAGTTTTCAAAATCTGCTGAAAAGCTCAAGAAACTGTCTCATTGTGAGCGATCACCAAAAATGAAGATTTCTCATGCAAAATCTCCAAATATGAAAAACAAGGCAAGTAAACCAGAACACTTTGTTTCAATATATAAAAAATTATTAAGGATAAATTGTCTCAATTAAGTTCATTATTAAGGATATGGTCAGTTTATCCAAGCTTTTTTAAAAGTTGTAAAGAATTTTTTCTTCTTTTAGTGCCATTTCAATGCCTGAAAGCTAGTTTTCATTACCCAACCCTCTCTATTAAACCCCCTACACAGGGGGAGCAATTTTTTCCTTCATGTTTAGGTTTAGGAGAGGGACCCACAGCTCGCCTCCAACAGCCAACCCTGAAATATGTTCCTGGGAGTTTAATAGATAGATCTTTTACAGTATGTCACTTTCAAGTCATCTAGCTTCCTCTTCCAGTGCCTTCATTTTGCTAATTTTTTCTGATGCTTTCATGATGATTGATGATTCTTTTCTCTTCAATGTGTTCCCTTAAATTTTCTCTGTCTATTCCCAACAATGGATAGCAATTCTCTCTGTTTGATTTTGGTCTTCCTTGTTTAGTTTTATTTACTGACAACTAATTGCCATTTTCCCTTAAGGTACTGCAGGATTCTGTAGGAATGAATTTTGATAATAAAAGATGAGGCAAGGACAATCAGAGTCTTACTTTTTTTATAAACTATTTGTCAATTTAATTGATCTATAATATTTTATTTATTTCCAACATATTATGAAGCTACATAAAAGAAAGTTTTATAAATTCTCTGTGTAGCCCATAACCATCCTTTTGTTAAATTTTTTTCTTTATGTGTTTGTTCATGAAACTTTTTTCTATATTGAGCATGTTTTAAGAGTACTGTTGATATTTTAGGTTCACGGAGAGAAAGGGCTAAAGCAAAAGACACTGTTTGACTTTAGAGCACAGATGAAAAATGAACCTTCATTTGCCAAAGAGAGGTGAGGATTCATTCAAATTTGGTTACTTTTGTATATATAAGTAATTGAGTAAACTATCTTTGGCAATTTTGTCATTGCTAGTGCTAAAAATTAATGAGATAAAACTAGCCCTTAATTTTAAAATTCTGTCACATAGGCTTCAAAGCTAGTTTAAAAGTAGGGTTAAGGTCAAATAAAAGACTCATGACAGCAGATTCTGCTAACAAGTTCTTTTGTTTTGCAAAATAAACTTATGTCTGTCTTTCTCCTCATAAAATGCATCCATTTAAAATTGTCATGATAAGTCCCTGCAAAGAAAAACCAACTTCATCCAGAGTTGAAATATTATTTAGATTGTTTTATAAGTGCAATTCTTGAATCTGAATATCGTCATACAAATAATACAAATAAAATAATCAAAGCTTAATCAATCTTAACAACAAAATATATATTGAAAAAATTCTCAGTTTTTTCATTTTGAGTTTAATGAGTTTTGAGTTTATCATCAAGTTTAATAATGCCATTCAATAATTGGTCTCTCAGGGAATAGGTTATTTTAGAATGGGAGTTTATCAACAGTTCTTTACTTTCATGCAGGGAAATGAATATTTCCAGGGAAATTATACAATTTGGCTAGGTACTTCCAGATTTTTTTTATAGGAATTCAAGGTATATTATTCCAGATTTATGAAAAAATCAGGGATCCATTGATATCTTGTTCCCTAGAATGCCAAAGATTGGAGACCCAAAGACCTTGGTTGTTGGTGTAACTAGAGTTGACTGGCAAGTTTATTCCTAAAAGATCAAAAGTTTCATATAATAATATTTCCTAATAATAATATAATTCACTGATGCTCATTAGAATCACTGTTTTTTATTAAAAATTTCATAGTTAGATGCTAATAAAATATGCAACATATCTATAAACCTTCACTTAGTGATTGTACTGAGCTAAAAGAACTTTTCAAAAATAATGAACAGTTTATGTCTGTTCAATCATGCGGTCCTACACTGTGTTGATCAAAGGAATCTTGCGTAAAATCAAAACAGGGAATTTTTTTTATATTGATCAAATCTACTATTGTCACTTCAAACTCAGGTCATGTTCTTTAAGAAAAGGCTGTGCTGTTTTGAATGAGTTGTTGCAGGGGCGGATCGAGACATTCTCAACATTCTCAATTTAGAATGTCAGATTTTCCCAGTTTGATTATTCTAAATAAAATGCTAAAAGTAATGAATGAGCTCAGATTTAAGATTCAAGATAAGCATACATCTTTTTATAATGTATTTTAGGTATTTATTTCTACATAATCGTCGTATTTGCTATATTTTACTCCGTTTTGCCTTTGCGAAACATTTTTATATCTTCTCCGATGAAAAACCAAATTCTCCTTCATTGAACCTAGTACCCAGGAGAGTAGTAAGAGGCTGCGCCGCGTCCTGTATCTAGGCATGATTTTTAGAAAGTTTATCGACTGTTGCCATGCATTTTGAGAAGTTCCTTCGCATTTTTAGAAAGTTGCACGCAGTTTCTGTATGCGCACGCAGAGAATTTCAATTCATTTTTGTCACTTAGAAGAGGTCGACCTGAAAGATTTTAACGAGAGGAAAATTCGCCAGAATGACGTATTAAACCCATTCACTTTTAATAGGGTATATCTGGCATATGTTTAACATATATTTTATGAGGTCTTGCCTACGTCGCAGTTTGAGAATCTTGAGAAGTTAGTGGGCTGGTCCACAAAGTAGCTAAATTTGACAGGGAACACCAACTTCACGTGATCAAGAATCCACACTCCAGTCCAGACTACAGTGGCTGTGGCAGTGGCAGTGCCTGGTAATGATTTGTGTTTGTGCTTGATTAGAGAATAATTTCACAAGAGCCCATTGCAAGTATGGATGTATTGGAAGAATTGAAACAGTTATTGACCGATTGTGCTTTGGATACCATCGAGGAGTATTTTTTTTCGCTGACTAGGGAATGGTTACTTACAAGTCTGCCGGGAGGGCCTAGGCGCCAGAACCAGATCGTAACACACAACCTTCGACATTTATTGTGGCAAAAGAATTCTTTCATTTTGATGGCTGAACCTTGTTGAACGAGAAAGGGTCAGACTTTGAGGTACTGCTGAAAAATTTTATATAGGGGTTCATTTTGTGCTGCTGCTACTGGGCCTAGAGGCTCAGGTGGTAAATTCTGCAAAAAGTTTGTTTTGTTTGCAGACTGGCCCCTCTGGATGCTGGTAAAATACTTAATTTAACACCGATACCTTACCATTGTCTTTCTGTTTTTGTGTAATGTGATTTAAATGTAGAATTCACAAAAATTACACTGTTCTGAATTTAACTAGAACTAGAATATTCATTCAATGATTAAATGGTTGCCTATCTTTGTAATATAATGTTTATGGATACATTTTAGTTTGTTTGAATAGCTATTTAATTTGTTTTAAATAACATGTTATTTATTTGCAAGTTGATTTTCACTTTTGCTGTAATTTAATTTAAAGAACTAGCTGTAAAAAAGTTAAGAGAGATTTTAACAGTTAGAGAAGTCATTACTTTCTTACAGTCTTGTTACTGATATTGTTACCAAGCAGAATAGGATTTGTTGTCACAGCCTTTGGTGAAAAGTTTTATGCTATGGTGGGCTGTTGTGTTCTATTTTGAAACCATTTGACATGTTGCATCTTTGGAAATTTTATGTGGTTAATCATATGAGCTACATGGGCCTATTGTCATACACTGCACTCTTGTTTTGGAGATGCATCTCCTTTTCTGTTTTATTGATACTAAGCCAATAACGAACAAGGTTTATTGAGAATGCAACACAGAAGTCAAAATCTTGAGATATATTTATTTGAGCAAGGTTGTACTAGGAACTGGAAATGCTGTCCAATAAAGTATGTTTTACATTAAGTTAGTACACACAGTAAAGGCAGATAGAATCTGTTTTTAATGCATGTTAAAATGCAGTATTTGGTATGATGTAATCTAGTATGGCAGGAGTTGGAGTAATGGAGTAGTCTTTCAACAAGAAAAATGATGAGAAATGCATATGTTTGCTTATTTTAGCAAGCCTATTACCAGACTAAGTTTTGATGGAATTGTGGTTTGGATAAAAAGCTAATTTTGGTTAACATTCCTGTGGAAGGAAATATTATGAAGGCAAAAAATTATCATTTTCTTTGACAAAAGAAAGTGCATCTGAAAGCTAAGCAAAGGGAAGTTTAGTATAAAGTGTCAGGTCTCAGAAGATTCAAATTTAAATTTGATGGATCTTCTAAATAGACAGTCATCCCAAAGTAATTTTTCTTCCATGTATTTCCAAATGATGAACAACAAATCTGAAACAGATATACAGACTTTGACTTTGATGCAGAAATATTTTACTCTAAAGCAGTGCAATTATCATATGCCAAAAGATATGATGCATTTAAGAGAGTTAGCATCCAGAAAGAAGTTGACTAGCCTTAGCAGTTTACTTTTGTTGCTAGAAAAGGTTTTTGCCCATTTCTTTGTCCAAGTTTCTATGGCTTGTATACTCTGAAAGTGCCTGCATTTTTAGTAATTTCATTGGTCAACTTTCGTTAATAATTCTCTTCTATGATGAGTCTTGTGCCCTTAAATTTTTATCAATCATTTGGATGTCCACAAAACTACACTTCTTTCTATAAAATTCCACATGTTAAACCATTAGAAAACCAAGCACAATTTGCCACACACATTTTGTCTTGATCTTTGTGTTATTTTTCCCTGCATTACCCAATTTTCAATTACTAGTGTTGCTATGCTTATTAAGTAATTCTTTAATGTTGCATCATTGTTGTTTTTTGGGCAATAATATGAGGGGGCAAGCCTATTTTTTTGATAAGATGACATCACATTTGTCCATTCTTTTTAGAATAAAAGACCTCTGTCTTCCCAAAATGTTGGGGAACAACTACCTCCCTTCATCTCCCCTGGGTGTCTGCCACTTCTTATTGTTTGTTTCTATTTCTCCTCTTAAAATTTCAATAATTTTAATCATTGCATCCATAAAAGACAGAAAACAATTTCTTGGGCGTTTCCGGGAAATGGGCGTGGTCGGTCGGTCATAATGGGTTTTGAGAATGTCAAATT